GAGGCGCAGGGCGGATACATTGAGTAAAATGTCTCAGAAAAGATCCCTTAACCCAGCTATAAAGCAGTCTATTTATGTTTTTTCATATTTTCTGTAATAAACAACTTTTTCGAGAAAAAAATTTTTGTCCGGATTTAAGTGGCGGACCCTGTATTTGTTTACCTAATGTTTTATATATAAATGTTAACAATAACCATATAATTATTGGAACAATAAACTGCACTGCTACTACACATAAATAATAGTACACAACCGCAATCTGTAACATAAAAAAGAGTAAATTGTTTTTCAATTGCTTTTAAAAAAAGATTTTAAAATACCAATAATTTAAAATAGTTTGTACGTGTGTATATATATATAGTTATACAATGCCTACTTTTTTTTGTAGATCAACATTTGTTATTCTACCAGTTTCCTTTTTCTGTATTTCTAGTCTTTGAGTTGCAAGATTTAAATAAGATTGCAAATAAATTGGCATAAGCATTATTCTTAGTACAACAGCAAGAATAATAACTATCTGTCTCATACTTTCAAATCTTGTAGGTGTCATCCTGTAATTAGAACTCGTTTAAGGCTTTATTGTTTTACATAGATATTAAATTTAAATATCAGATCAAATGCATCTCAACTTACAACGGACTACTCATTCCGCTAAATATCCGAACAGTCAAATAATCTCTGGTCAAAGGTGTAATCCATAAACTCACCAAGAGGAGTGGCGAAACATAACTAATATTAGCTGATAGCAACAATAATTTATTATCTTTGTAATATCTGTAACAGAATTTTCATATAAACACAATGCACAATCAATTTTATCTAAGATAAAATAATGAAATTTATTATACCTTAATGCATCATAATGCAATTTTGATATCCTCAGTCCTGGGAAAGTGAATAAAGATCCTAGTAAGCCACACCATATTGCAAGGAAGAACTTAACAACAATTTTTGAAGCTGGCCCCCTACTGAAAATATATTTATTGATAACGTTACATAATACTATGTAACAAAACTATCACAAATAATAAGTAAAAATAATTAAAATTAAGTTAATAAATAGCTAATAAATCCTATATTGTTTTAGTCTAAGAATAAAGATTCCAATTGTGTCATAAGGATCTAATATTGCACAAGAAGGGTCTTTGTATCAATACAATATTCTACTTGTAGGTAACCAGGAAAAAAAGCAAGAAAGAGAAAAATATCACGAACAAAGATAAAACATGCTTAGCTTACGTTGAGGAAAGTCCTTGAGTATCTAAAAACTGAGAAGCGCTGTGATTGAAACTTGTATATGCTTTTTCCAACCCAATTTCTAGTTTGTTTTCATCTATTATAAGCACCATCATAGCGATAAGAAGATATCTCTGGCTGCCTCGCCATCCTCGTCCGCTGCTTCTTCCGTTCAAATGCCACCCTCGTCTGCTATCTCCGCTATGTTTTTTGAAGCAAAAATAGCGTAAATATTCTTCTTTCTCTTTTTTCGTTTTTGTGCTGTAGAATCTGAAACATTAAATATTTACATATGCATGTACATATGTATAATGTACGGTAAATGTGTACACAAAGAAATATATACTTACACGCGATTTCTATGTTTTAAATTTTTGCCCCCCCTTGTGCGTTTTTTGGGGGAGATGTTTTCTTCATCCTCGACCTCGTATCTGTTTATTTTGCTTGGATTTTTTTCCATGGAATGCCGCACCGATCTGCAACATAAGAGTATTAATATTAGTAAACATTCATCGAAATAAAATATTAATAATAACAAATTACTTACTCTTGCGTCGTTTCCGTTTCTTCTGCGTAGAGATTGTCCACATTCTCGTCTTGCGACACGATCTCAATAGCTGAGATATCACTTCCGACTGCAACAAACATAAAATTTTATTAGTACATGCATTTTTATATATTTTGGTCGTTAACTTGATGCAATAATAAAATTTACCGCAACAATGTGACTATCTACTTCGCGTGCGTGATAGAGAGAGAGAGAGAGAGAGAGAGAGAGAGACTACGTAAAATTCAATATGCATTAAAAGTCACATCGCAATACATAATTAACAAAGTAGCTGCTTTGTAATATCACTTACCAGAACTCATTCTCCACAAGAACGCCGTGTTTCCAAAACAATTTATAATAATATGCCGTATTTTCACCACAATACCGAAAAACACGTACAGAAAGTTACGAACTAAACAAATATCGCGCACGTTACTGTCCGCCATGAGAGTTCGGTGTCCGAAGAAGACTGTCGAGTCTGCCGTATTTTCACCACAATATCGAAAAACACGTACGGAAAGTTAAGAACTAAACAAATATCGCGCACGTTACTGTCCGCCATGAGAGTTCGGTGTCCGAAGAAGACTGTCGAGTCTGCCGTATTTTCACCACAATATCGAAAAACACGTACGGAAAGTTAAGAACTAAACAAATATCGCGCACGTTACTGTCCGCCATGAGAGTTCGGTGTCCGAAGAAGACTGTCGAGTCTGCCGTATTTTCACCACAATATCGAAAAACACGTACGGAAAGTTAAGAACTAAACAAATATCGCGCACGTTACTGTCCGCCATGAGAGTTCGGTGTCCGAAGAAGACTGTTGAGTCGGCGAGTGATGAGATGTCGGCTCGGCGGTCGGGCCGGGCCAGCACCGAGAGCGCCGAGGTGGTGGGGGTACGCACGCAAGCGAGAACCGCTACCTGTGTGCGCTTGTGTAACATGATATGTTGTCGTGCGGCATGATATGTTCCGTCTCTTTTCTGCCAAGCCGGCAGAAGCAAGACACGAGGCACGATTACGTTGCGCGATTACTTGTTGCGTATGACACCGTGAAATGCTTCTTCAAGATTTATAGTCTTGGAAAAAATACATAATATTAATAATAATAATATTATACATCAAGATGCATAACATTTTTATTAATTTATAACATGAGTTAACTGTCATAAAAAACATTTATCAAGTTTTAGAATATTTAACAACATTTAATATATATGTATTTATACATGTTTTTCAATATTCTAAAAAGTTTAAAGTATTACTGTTAACTCATCATTAATAAAAAATATATAACGCAAATTGAGAAATTTTAATATTATTAATAAGTTTATGTATGTTCCAAGACTTTGGATTGCTGTAAAAGATTTAAATATTATATATTATATCATATTACGTATTATTCATTAGTATTTGACTAGGCGTTTCCTTATTATTTCACTGCATCCTTAGACGCAGAATTCATTTGTCATGTATAACACTGCGCCAGTCTTACAATGCATTTTGTTTATTTTACCGCATTAGACGCAGAATGAATTTTTCTATTGTTGTACTACGCCATCGCCAGTCTTAAAATGCATTTTTTTATTATTTCACTGCATCGCAGACGCAGAACGCATTTCTTAATTTAATTGCATGAACTATATGATGCATTTGTTTTATTACTTTACCGCATTACATGAAGAATGCATTTTTCTATTATTGCACTGCGCCATTCTTACTAAGTATTTTTTGTATTATTTCACCACATTAGACGCAGAATGCATTTTTCAATTATTGCACTGCGCCAATTTGACTATGTATTTTTTGTATTACTTCACCGCATTAAACGCAGAATGAATTTTTTAATTATTGTACTGCGCCAGTCGTAAAAAGTTAGTCTTTGGTTTTTAATATTTCATTACATTAGACGCAGAAGACAATTTTTATTTATTTCATAGCGCCATTGTCTTTAAATGCATTTTTTAAATATCGCACTGCATTAGATGCAGATTGCATTGTTTAGTGCAAGTTGATTGCGCTAGGCATTTTTTAATTATTTTATCTTATTAGATATTAAATGCATTAATAATTTTACTAGCAGATAACAATTGTTTTATTTACTGAGAAATATTAATCCGGTCATAAGAGCCGTTCACAGGATGTTGTGCGGAAATACGCGTGTATATATATATTTCTTACACAGACAAAAAACTCCGTTAGACATGTATTAAATATTGCGTAGAGCTTTTGATGTCTATTGTATGTTTAATGGAGTTTTTGTTCTGTGTGGGTTGCTCACGTGTAAATTTTACACGTGAGTTTTTGAATTAAAATTTCAATTCTTAAATTCAAGTACATTCAGTTTAGAAACTTCAGATTCAAAAATAAATTCCCCCTCAGATTCTTTACTAATTGTTGAATGTTTTTATTTATTTTGGACTTTTTTTACTTTTTTACGAGGCGCTTTAGCTTTCCTGTCAGCACGATTGTTATATCTTGTGCGAAAATACAGTTTTACTCTGATCAGAAATCCAAGGGTTTGCAATCAATGATTGTAGCATTGATTGTTTGGATCAAACCATGTCGGATGAATCTTTTTTGTTAAATGTATGCATTCTTTCGTTATAATCTTCAGAATTTGAGTTGATGTCCAATAATGTAGGCAGATTCGGTTTAAAGCCAATAACTGCGTTTCAATTATTTTGGCAAACTGATCAGTTGGTCGTGTCAATTTTGTCACAGTAGGAGCATCTTCATCTATATTCGGATATTCGAGGAATTCAATATATTTTTCATTTTCTGTTGCGTCTTCCATTGGCGTTTTCATCATAATATCGCGACAGTTTTTGCAATTTGTTTTACTAATAATTCGATGTGCTACATATCCAGCAAAATGTGCAATAGCATTTAAATCGTAAGCATTCTGTGGATTTTCATTCTCTGAATCTTCAATATTATCCATAATTTCAAATTCTTTTAGAATTTCGGCATCTTGGATTAATATTTCGTCATCTACATCATTATCTTGCACAGTTGGGTGACTTTCCATTACATTTTCTATCGTCTTAACAATTTGGCTTGGTGGATTTATTAGAGATTCGGCTTCGGGACACTGCACATTGCCTTTTTTGCTTGTTTTGATATATCCTATTGAAAGATTATATCTCAAGATAAGCCGAACCATTCTTGCTGTAGGATTGAGATTAAATCCACCGCGTTGTCTTACTTTGGAGAATAAATGTTCCACTGAATCTTGATTGCATAATCCTGTACAAAGTTCGAATGTTTCAAATTGTTCTCTTAATTCTGTGTATAACTCAAGTAAAGCTGGTATTGTAATATTAAATCCTTTCAAACAAGGAATTTGGCGTATTATTTCAGAACATACAGACCATCTTGAGCACCATCCAATAAAATTTCTTAATTTTATTTCTATATCTGGATTTTTCCAGGATAATGGACGTTTTCCACCCATATTCATTTTTATACTGTAAGAATTGCAAGCATCGATTATTTCGTTCATATGTTCTGTAAATTCAGCAGTTGCTTGCCATGTATTTGATGGTAGTAGTTCGTTACAACCCGCTGTTTTCATTGCGGCTGCGAATTTGTGACTGAACAATTGGAAAGCTTTTTTTACATTCATCGCTTCAAAAGTATTTGGATACAAATGTGCTCTGGTTATGTGTGACAATAAATTTGAACCTCCTTGTGCGACATTATCAACTTTCCATGTCAATTCATAATCAGAATATGATGCGATTATGTTTCCATCGCAATATAAATTTTTATGTGTGTTCTCAGCAAACTCGCTAATCGTTTTACTAAATGAGGAAAGTCATGCGTTGCGTAATATTTTTTCCCATTATGTATAAAGAATGGTTTATTACATTGCACATTTAATAGCCCATAAGCACTTTGATTACTTGTACCTTGATCACAAGTTAAAAGTCGCACATCAGCACCTGTTTTGCTAAGTCTATCTAAACATTCTTTTACTAAAAGCACTATATTTTCCGCTGTCATGCTTTTCCCTGGAAGGAAATATGCTAATAATTGACGCCATGGATTACGCGCATTAATACTATCCAGGCAAAATACAAACATGCATTTTGCTCTTTCATTTGTTCTTCCTAAAGGTCCGAGATCAACAAGTCCTTCTATTTGATCCAGACTAGAAGAATATTCTTCGTATGATTTTATAGACATCTCGTCCCATTTCAAAGCACATATTCTTTCCTCCAGAGGCAGTTTTAACATTTTTTCCTTAACTTTTTGAAAAATGAAATCACAAAAGCCTGGCTTTATACTATATTCTTCGTGCCATCTTGTAAGAGTGCGTTCTCCAGGAAAAATGCAACCTGCCTTTTTTAAATGACGCAGCGCCGTAGGTGAATAATAATGTAATAGTTTAGATAAAATTCTTTCTTCCTCTGTATATGGCGTGCCTGGCGTATGTAATTGCAATTTTATCATTGTTTTTGCTAAGGGTTGCAATTCTTGCTTATCTATTAATTCTATCATAATTCGTTTTTTACTTTTTTTACTTGTTGGTCCCGTAACATTGCGTCGAAGTCGTAAACGATATCTCAAATCATTGTTCATTCGACGCAGTCGATAATTTTTACGTTTTAAAGTTTCAATTGTTCTCTTGTATTTCAATATTATTTTCTTTACGTCTGTTTCATCATTTTCCTTTGATTCATTACTCCTTTTATTTCTTAATAGCTGATGTTGCTCTGACATATCTTGCGATATTTCTGGTTCCNGATCAGTTGGTCGTGTCAATTTTGTCACAGTAGGAGCATCTTCATCTATATTCGGATATTCGAGGAATTCAATATATTTTTCATTTTCTGTTGCGTCTTCCATTGGCGTTTTCATCATAATATCGCGACAGTTTTTGCAATTTGTTTTACTAATAATTCGATGTGCTACATATCCAGCAAAATGTGCAATAGCATTTAAATCGTAAGCATTCTGTGGATTTTCATTCTCTGAATCTTCAATATTATCCATAATTTCAAATTCTTTTAGAATTTCGGCATCTTGGATTAATATTTCGTCATCTACATCATTATCTTGCACAGTTGGGTGACTTTCCATTACATTTTCTATCGTCTTAACAATTTGGCTTGGTGGATTTATTAGAGATTCGGCTTCGGGACACTGCACATTGCCTTTTTTGCTTGTTTTGATATATCCTATTGAAAGATTATATCTCAAGATAAGCCGAACCATTCTTGCTGTAGGATTGAGATTAAATCCACCGCGTTGTCTTACTTTGGAGAATAAATGTTCCACTGAATCTTGATTGCATAATCCTGTACAAAGTTCGAAT